GGGCGCCTTGTGAAGATTCTGTTTGTTTGAGTGCCAGTACTTTATCTTTATTTTTGTTAATGTTTGTTCTCTACTCACATTGGGGACAATGTTGGATACTTTTGGTGGTGGTGGTAGGAGTCTGATTGTTAAATCTTGTGTTCTCTCGAAAGTTATTCGAGTATCGGTTATGATCAATATCGATGACTTAAATAGTGCTCGTAATTGAACGAAATGAATGTGCGGCTACGATGAGACCAAATGAAGTTACATAGACAATGTGTGGACTTTTTGCATCTCGTTGTGACTAGCCGATTATTGAATGAGTCTCTTGTGATGAACACTGCTTACTAGCTAGAAAGTGTGGAGTCTCATTTGATATTGGTGTCAATGCCGTGTGTGATGAGCGTACCTTGAATATTGTGTGTGATGACACCTAGAATTTTCCCCGTTAGTCCGGTTGACTAAAGTGATGCAAGCTCTTGAAATGATCTTAGGCAAAAAATTTGATGAGTGAAACAAATTGACATTATACCTATTTTTGTGGCCAACCTTGTGAGATGGTGTGAACCTTGCTTGAACCCCTTTGAGTCTTATCCTTTTTCTTGGAAGAAACTTGAACAATTGTGACCCCTCTTTATCCTTTCATCCATAACCCTCATGAAGTGTGGTTGGTTTGAATAGCCAACTTAGGCCAAAAGCCTAAGTTGGGGGTGTGGTGAAAAGAGAAGGTAAAATCAAGGAAGTGTAAAAAAATTACCCCTTAGAACAATGGTTTTGAAAAAGATGGAACCCCTCCATACAAAAAAAAAAGAAAAAGAAAAAGAATGAGAAAGTTGTGAAATAAAGTAGTTGAAGTTGCAAAAGAAATGGGGTATCCGGTAATCCATTTGAAAGTGAATAATGGGGTGAATTATGAACATGATCAAAGTGTTGAATAAAAGGAAGAAAGTGATGTTCAGACCTCATTTCATGAGGGTAGCAGCCACTGAGCCTAAATGACCATACTTTTACACTCAGCCTCGTTACAAGCCTTAGAAAGACCTTTGTGATCTTGAGTGAGCTGAAGCGAATGTTAATTGGAAATAAGGGTAAACCTATTGGTGAAGTCATACATGTGTTCATCTTTCTGAGTGTGAAAGTCGTATGTGATTCCGGAACTATAAATTGTTGAAGAACTTGGTATGAATGGGGAATCATTGATTAACGTTATCAACGACACTTAATCCAATTCTAAGTGTCTACGATCGTTAGTCAGTATAATAACCCAACTAAATTAGTTGGGGTCGAATCCCACAGGGAGTGGTACGTGTTTAAGATTCAAGAGTAAAGTAAGAATATGCTCAAGTCAATCATAGGAATAGACATTTACGAATAAAAACATAATGTAAATCAGGGGGTGACACGAATGTCAAATAAGGGGGTTTTGGTTTTAACTATCAGCTACAACAACAACAAATAATACGAAAGAAACAATAATGAGACGGGTTCTTGGGATGTGATTGGATTATAGGCTAAGGTAGACAAATGGGTAATTGTAACTGTTAGTAAATACCTGTAAATTAGTGAATAAGCTAGACTTTAGAGGGGATAAACTTTCTCTCGAACAATCTACCCCGAATCAAGTCGATTTCTCTCGAACACCAACAAGCATGCAAATAAGAACAGCCTTCACTTTAGTCCATTCACTCTCTCGAGCTGAATGTGTGGAAAAGGGTTCACTCTCTCGAGCTGAACCCATAACAACCCAATACCCACAGACCATCAATTCAGTAATCTTGGTTTTAAAACCTCTCTCTCGAGCAAGCCAAAAACACAAAGGTAGAACTGCATTTGCAACTACAATTCGTTAAATTGAACCACAATTGCTGAATGAAATCATTTCTAAACAACATTTAAACTAACAATTAAAAATACCTACAAGCTAAATCAGCCCATAATCACACAATCACACCCCAAGAATTGAGATTTTAGCTAGGCATCATAAAAAGATAAAAAATCGTTACCAAATTGTGTTTCCATCAACTGGGTAAGATTAATTTCGTCTTTACAAAGGTCCAAATTGAAGAATCTCAAAAACCCACTTCCAATTTCTCAAAAATAGAAAACTTCAATTCTTCAAAGCTAAGGAAAACTTGTCTCCCAACTCAGAGTTCTAAACTCAAAAATTACTCTAATGAATGTTCAGAATAAAATTTGATACTAAACATAATGTTTGAAAATGTATTTATAGTCGCCAAAAATATGCTGCGAGGGCCATTCAGTGCAGTAAGTCGGGCTCGCCGATCAGCCCGCCGATCCGCCATTTGACCCATTTCATCGCCTTCTTGCTTTGGCCTTCAGCATCCTCAAGGTCAGTAACTTTGGATGATCTAACACTGCATCGCGAAACCACTCGGTGATCCGTCGACTACTCTTTTCTATCGCCAACTTGATTTTCTCCTTCAGGGCTTGACACACTGGAACTTTAGGTGATGTATTGGCCATTTGGCGACTCACCAAATGGTCATGGCGATCACCAAGTTCTCTTTTCTTCTTTCTTTTAGCTCGCTTCGTTCCTTTTTGCATTTAGTGTCTATGTTTTGTTCCTCAATCCAAATACCTGGAAATCAAGGATTTTACATTAGTTATTGGCACAAAATAAGCATTTGAGGACACTAAATCTATGCAAATAAAGCCCTAAGTGAGTCCAAATCGTGGACTCATCAATCATCTTTGTTGTGAGGGCATTTGAGTACCTTTGTTGAGCTTGAACTTGCATTTGAAGCAAGTATTGTGAACTTGAGCATCTTTGATAATGGTGAGTCACAATTTGAATCTTTGAGTGCATACTTGGTCATTGCATGAGTAAGTTGAGTCTTATTGTGTGTATTCATGTTGAGTCTTATGTAGCACTATTTGAGACATCCTTCTTGAACTACTGAACTTGAGTTTTACTTGAGGACAAGCAAAAGTTTAAGTTGAGGGGTGTAGATGAGTCTGAGATTTGGACTCATTTAGGGATTTGTTTATATAGATTTAGTGTCCTCAAATGCTTAATTTGTTCCATAAATTGATGTTAAATCCTTGATTTTCAAGTATATAAATTGAAGAACAAAGCAAGGACACTAACAGGCAAAAAAGAACAACACAAGCTGAAAAAGGAGAGACAAGAAAGCCTGAAGATCGCCAAGAGAACTCGGCGAGTCACCGAGTTTCCCCTAGACTGCCTAATTTTTTAGAACACTTAGCCTAAAACGAGGTAAACTTAGGCGAACTGTGTTCTCATCGGCAAATCACCGACTGCATCGGCGAAGGAAAATTATACTGCCGAACTCACTGATCAAGACCAAGACGAAATTAAATTGGTGAGCTAAAGGACTTAAAGGCGCATCACGGAAGTGATCAGTGATCCCGATCTAGATCGCCTAAAGTTACAGTGTCTGAATGAGGAAAGAGGTGAAGAAGAAAAGGGCGATGTACTAGAACAATCAGTGAAGCCCGACTTTCCTCGCCGATCAACCCCAAAAAGCAACATCTCAGATCAGTATAAATTAACTTTTAGAAGAGAGAGAAATTATTCAATCATTGTGGAACGAAATAGAGAGAACAAAAACGTTATTCTTGTTGATTTTAAGTAATTTTGGCAAGAGATTTCAATTGGGTATTGTAATAGAAAAGATATTATGCATCTTAGAACTTTGACTTTCAATACCCAGCTATGGAGCATGTATTAGGTACTGAATTTCTTTATTTTATGATGATTAGCTAAAACCCCAATCTTGGGGGTTTGACAATATGATTAATTGTTGAATGTGGCTTGATGGGTGTTAGTTATTACTAATTTTAGTGCTAATCCAAAGTGGGTCTAACTTATCGTTGTGGTTTAAATGCTCTATTGCATGTTTATTTCAATAAAATTTAGTGTTTATGCTTGCTTGAGAAAGAAGTGTAAAGCTAAAGTGATAAGTTGGCACTCATAATTAGTGGGTCATGATGGATTCAGCTCGAGAGAGTGAATCCTAAGACTCATGTTATGTATTCATCTCGAGAGAGTGGATGTAGTGAGATTGTGGACTGATCTTTATGTTTAAAGCATTGAGGTTCGAGAGAACTCAGTTGAAACGGGGTAGTTGTTCGAGAGAAAAGTGCCTCACCTAAAGTCCATCCTACCCATGGAGAGTTAGCACTTTTGGTTAGAAATTTGCACCCATTGAGTTACATTTAGCAATTGGTTGGTCAATCCCCCAAGTACCTTTCTCCTATTTGATTGTTCTCAGTTACTTGTTGAGGTTGTTTCCTGATCAAAAAAATCCTTCACCCTAACATTGTTTCCACCCTTTAAATTTCACTAATCGTTTCCGAAAATCTCAAGTCCTTTAGCTACAAAAATCACTGTTGTAACTTCATATTTGAATTCAATACATAACTACTCTTTGTGGAATCGACCCCAACTCTTCTGTTGGGTTATACTGCTTAACGATCATCTACACCTAGTATCGGATGAGGTGTAGTTGATACGTTAATCAAACCTCGCCCAAATTGACAGTGCGTAGCACTTGTGTCTACCAAAGAAGGTCGGAAAAATCTAGTAGAAAAGGTGATGCGTCGAGTTAGAATGACGGTCTTGACGCACATCGCCTAAAATGACAGTGTGTAAGATAAAGATTTAATGCTCGAGCGATGGACTAAGGTGGTATTCAGCGATTCCTCGAACGTGAAAGGCTGACTCAAGTGAGTTCTCCAACTGAGGTTCAAATACCTTAAGCCTAGAGCATCACAAGACGACACTACTAGAAATTTGACCTATGGCAACAGTGTTTTTTGTAACGGTTCCATAACAGTGAGATTAACCATCCCAATAGATGTATTTATTGCAACGGTTCTTTGAAAAAATTGCAACAACTTAATTTTCCCACCTTATTTTACCGCTCTAGTTTTGCTGAATATTAGTGGGTGATTTTTTAAAACACTTTTTTTACTAATTTCTATATCTCTACACTTTTATCCAAGCCTAGAACATGATGCAGAAGTCTCGCCACAAAAGCTATGTCTAAGATACTGAATGTAACAAAGACACCGAACTAATCTCATTTTCCAGTGATACCATGGAGGTGCTAACAGTTTTCTTCTCCGGGTTGGTTTCCATTTAGCAGATCTAGACCTAATCTTTGGTTAGGGCTTTTCACAGTCTTTTTTGGGTATTGTTTTACCAATTCCTTGGTCATCTCTTGTGAACAGGTATCAACATGATTTTATTTCCTTTTTCATCAAGGTAGTTTTTTCCGAAATCACTAGATTTGTAGAATGAAAAATCGGAAGACCCTTAGAATTTATTTCTCAATTCGTTTTTTGAACCCTAGAGAATTGGCACCGTTGATTTTATTTGACTGATATCATTTTTTTAAAGGACATATTAGGGGTTTGTAAGAATTGGCACACACTGATTTCATTTTTCTGTAGGACTATAAGAATCATTAATCTTAACTGATATGTTGAGTTCCAATAGTACTTAAGTTTTGCTACTCTTCCCTTGGCTTTCTAAAAGTGGTTGAGTTGAGCTATTGAACGCTTTATGGTTAACACTATAACTGGTTTCAATGTTTGCATAGGAAAGAGAATCCCTCTATATCCATATAGCTATGTACTGGTGAATTCGACATCTCTATTATCAATGCTATGAACCGATCAAAATGTAAATACAAATGCAATTCATACGAATTTCCAGCTTGCATATGGTAGTAGAGATGATGACTTTAGTGTTAGATAAACAAGAATTAGTGTAGCTACTGATAGGGACGTTTCATATATTGATTTATAGGCTATTCAAATTACCCATTACGTTTTTTATGAAAGGACAAGACTAGTGAATGAACAATCGTGGTATGTGTATTCACTACTCTATCAAGTGTTTTGGATGCCTTAGCAGAACTAACTTTGTTGTTTTCCAGCAAATGATGTCATCAGTGGTAAGATAAGTTGGTGTTAACTCTGTTCTCTCATTTTCAGCTAAACGCCAATTCTTTGTTTGCTAATTTGTGTTGAAAGATAACTTATATAGAGGAGTTCTATGGCTGATTTTGCAATTGAGGTGCAGTTTATTGGTCTCGATTGCCTCTTGTTCTGCTCGAATTATCTTAATTTATAAAAATCTTAGCTTTGTCCATGTTTTGACTGTCTCTATTTGTTTTTTATCATTATCAATGTTACTTAGAGTGGAGGCACTCCAGAAACCCGATATGGCTTGCTACAAGTTAAAGATGGCCTCTCGTGAAGCTGGTGTGATATTCATAAAAAAGACTTTGAGCTGAGGTTCTTTTTTATTTTGCTTTCAAATTTTTTGCCATTATGTGGAGTAGCTTTCTGATGAGTATCGTATTTGCATTCCATTACGCCTCATATATCATATCACTCCAGGGAGTTGATAATAGAGACATGTGTGCTGGTGTTGCATTGATTGACGAAGTACACAAGACAATTGTGGTATGACTATATGGCCCTTTTTATTTTCTTTTGGAATATAAAAGTTGACTCTTTTGTATTTGATGTTTTGAGAATAATTAGTAAATCTTACAAATACATACAATTGAAATAAATTTCATTGTAGAATTATGAGAGCCATAGTTTCTTTTTGTGGCGGACTTCATGAATAGATAAGATGGGCCATTATCCCTTTTCTCTTATTTACTTCAAGAATCTGTTTTTTATTTGTACTAGAACAAACTGATGATGGCTATTGTACCAACTTATTATTTGTCATCACAATCGAGATAACCCGGCGACAGTACTTACTTTGTGTTGGTACTGGAAAATTGATTGAGTTGGATCCAAGGTTTGGTTCACCTTTAGACTTGTGGTTGCGATACTAGAAGAAAATATAGTTGGGTATTTGACTATGTGGATACAATATTTCTTACCTTGCTGGATATGATTGTCCTCTCATACAGAGACAGTTTATTGCTATTCAATGCATATTTACAATAGCTTATCATGGAGTCTCTTGGGAAAGAGTTTAACCTAGACGGTAACTGGTATATTTCCCACAGTTCCTATAGTTCCCATGCCTTTAATTTTCAGATTAAAACCACACAAAATAGATGCATTTCCACTTACTTATGTAACCTCATACGTGCACCAACTCAGTCAACCACATCTCATAAAAGGAACCCTGTAATTTACTTCTATTCCTTGGATATTTTGTGTTCACTATCAATGAAACCTATTTGTTTAGTGAAACATTATGTTATTTTGCCTAGTACCTGTACTCACTCTTTTTGCAGCAAATTATTTAGGTGTTTTACAAAATTTTCCTCACCTTCAAATCCTGTGAGAATAAAAGAGGAGTATATCTTTTCAGTCAGTTTTCTACATCGAGCATATTTATTGGCATGCTCCAATTGCTACATGAGTATCCCAACTGCAGGTCTCTCATTCTTAACATAACATTTTTTGTCATAAGTTTAGTCTTCATGATATTGTTAATGGTTCAATAATATACTTGGGAAGATTTGAGCCAAATTGTTGCTGTGGTTTTTAGCCAACTACTGCTGTTTTTTTTTTACCTAAAATGTTACTTTAAAGACTGTTTTAACCAGCTTCAATGGTTCGACATATTGTTGCAGAGGTTGTTACCCTGTTCTTCTTGGGATTTCTCATGGCCTCCAAGTATATCAATATTTCTATGCCAAACATCTTATTATCTTTATCATCATCAATTTGATGCCAAACATCTTAGTATCTTTATCATCATCAATTTGCCATATTCTTATTTCAATTGTTCCGTTATACAAATTAAAATTGGTAAGTATTTCATCTATAATTAGTTTTGTAGTTAGAAATTACTTATATTGTGAAGTCTTTACTGATTGTTATAAAATGCATCTTATAGTATCTTAAACTTCTCTAAGTACTGGTATGAATTGACTTCTATTTAGAGAAAATATTCCTTAACTTGATAGGTGAAATATACATGAAATTATTCAGTTAGTTCGTCAATGTTTCTTTATTACAATAACTGTGGCTGCTACGTTTTGCTTGATTAAAACATGCCAATATTGTTATTGTGTTTAGCATGACTAATAATTTACTTTTCACTTTTCATTTTACATGAAAGTGCATTTCAACTTTTAACTATATATTCTATGTAATGTCTTTGGAGATTCTTAAGCTTATGATTTTTTTCGATTTTTATGCACAGATCAGGCTACTAGTTTGTATTTTTGATAATCATTTTTCTGAATCATTTATTATCACCTTTTGTAGGTGAAGCAAAGCAATATGAGGCAGATGAATACCTTACCCTTAGGTATTGAATGGTCATATGCAATGCCCTCACATATTCTTGAAAAAATTTCTTTTAGAACATAGTCACTTTATATACTCATACTCTCTTGTATATATTTTTAACACATGATTAATATAAACTAGAAATTTTGGATCATTTTTTTTTGTTGATTTACTTTCCTTTCGCATTTTATATAAATTTTAGTGTATTATACTATATTATAAGTAAATAATTATTGTAATAAATCACCTAATAATTGTTGCAATAGTTCCTACAATTACTATAGCTCTAAATAACTGATACTATAGTTCTAGATAACCGTTGCTATAGCTCCAAAATATTTGTAGCAATAGCATAAAAAACGTTGCAATAGCCTCAAAAACCGTCGCATAAACATAATATTGCAACGATTTCGGATCGTACTTGTATACTAACTAACCGTTGCTATAGATAAGGAAACAACAACACTTGTGTAAACCATTGCAATAGACAATCTATTGCAACGGGTTGCCTACCGTTGCATAAAATTGTTGCTATAGGCATGTTGCAACGCGAGCAGATGTAGCGAGTCCAAAACCGTCGCAATAGTACTATTGCAACGATTTTGTTGTCTATGGCAACAATTTTAGAACTGTAGCTATAGGTCTATTTTCTAGTAGTGCGATCTGAGGAGCGAAGGGCGAGTCACAAATATAGTTAGGTCATAGTCCTATTAGGGGGCCGTATACACGTTTGCAACCTTTTCGTTGGAGAACCCGACTAACGTCATTGAATCAATTATAAAGTAGATTTTTGGGTTAAATTTCGAAAAAATATAAATAGCCCAAAAGGTAAAATTATGAGGGAGTTCGATTAGTTCGATTGCAGAGTTAGACCGAAGAGTTTTCAGAAGTGAGAATACTTTACCTTTGAAAGAACACTTTTTTCTAGTTTTCTTAGGGTTTTACATTTGAAGCTTGAATTCGATAAATTGAAGTTAAATCCATAGTGAGTTTACTATGAATTTCTTGATTTCAAGTTGCTCATGGCTGCTTTCATAGAATGTATACTTTCTTTACTTTTTGTGATGGGTGGCTAAAACCCCAAGATCTAGGGGTGCTCAAATGGGGTTGCGTAGATTTAATGTAGTGGGTATTGTGCTATGCTCTGTTTTGTTGTTGTTCATGCATGAATTTGGTCTAATTACCATGGGGTTAAATTATGGGTTAAGGTTACAAACTTAATATCTACTTTCGATCTCCAGTTGATGCTCGAAAGAGATTAATTGGAGTGGATAATTAGTTCAATACTAGCAATTTAGGCGTAATGTATAGCTTGCTTGAAAAAACGGTTATGGGTCGGAGCTATTTGCCCTATTCTTGAAAGAGAGAGTAGAGTAAGGTATTGATTTGTTTAGAAATGACATATAGATGAGACCGAAAGGAAATTCTAAGCATAGATGCTTTGAGATCGAAAGATGATTAGTGTCAATGATGATGACTTAGCCTATTCATGAATGCCCATCACTATAAACACAATCACCCCTATGTGACATTGATTTGCAATCCCCGCAGCCCTAGATTGCTTATTAACTCTTGATTTTGTTTTAATTTTAGTTTAGTTGCGATAATTGATAACTAAATCTTTATATTAAGTTGGTGGTACCATCCAGAGGCGTATCCAGGATTTTGAGATGATGGGTGCACTATTACGAACAGATGGATTAAGAAATAAATTTGATCAGTTTAACATTTAAGTTCTTATCACTGAAAATCATTCAAATTTTAAAATTATAGGTCAAAAATTATTTTTTATCTCTCCAAACCACTTAGAGAGGTGTTACCCAATTTTAGAAAGAAAATAAAACAAGATAAATGAAAGATTCAAATTTCTAGCCTCAAAGGTGCACCCAATCATCATCGCACAACATTATATGATACTTCAAGTGTGGGTTCACACATCTATGTTTACATATATTTTTAAAAATATACACTACTATATATAAATTCAGGAGGGGAGCATGGGTTCACGTGAACCCGGTGACCCCCTCCCGGATACGCCTCTGGTACCATCCACCCAATTTTCTTACTAGTACAAATGAGCTAATTTAAAGTCCAATTTTTTTGATAAGAAATTCTCTATGAAATACCATTCCCTTTGGGATTCGACCTCGACTCTTCGTTGGGTATTTTACTGACTACAATCACTCACTCTTTTAATTAATTTTTTAGGGTGATTTGAGAGTTATCACCTCTCTTTTGGTTTATGGAATCAAGGCCTACATGCTTGTGTATGTAGATGATATAATATTAATTGAGAGTGATTTCACATTCTTGTAGAGTATTATTCTTAGACTGGTTCTATCTTCTCTATCAGAGATCTTGTACCCTTAAGTCTCTTTTTTGGCATCCAAGTTGCACGTACAAAGGTTGGACTCTCTTTATCCCAGCATCACTATATTTCGGCTTATTGGAATGTGTCAAAATGCAACTATGTAAGCAACTAGTGACACCTATGTCCACGTCTACAAATCTTCATAAAAATGACAACTCTCTTTTTCATGATTCGTCTCTATATAGACACATTGTGGGAGCTCTTCAGTACCTCACTCTCATTCATCTAGATTTCTCTTTTAATGTATGCATAATTCTTTCATAAATTAGTAAGTTGTTGCCAAACGGATATTGCGATACATGCAACACATTAATGTCATGTATCTCTTAATTTTGAAGTGTAAAACTCAGTTTCTTCAAGCTTTTACGGATGTTGATTGGGTTGGTTCATTAGATGATTGAAAATCGATTGATGGATAATTTATCTTCATGGGATTTGCTTTGGTGTCTTGATCGTCAAAGAAAAAGTGTACAATCTCTAGGTCCGTCTTCAACTAAATCATAATATAAAGCTTTAGATGATGTCGATGCCGAGCTAACTTGGATTTAGTCATTTTTATATGAACTTGGTGTTTGTCTAACTAAAGCTCCTATCTTATGGTGCGGCAACATTGGTGTTACATACTTATCTGTTAATCTCATATTCCATGCGCGTACAAAACATGTGTGGAGATTGATTTTCATTTTGTAGGGGATATATAAAGTGGTGAGGAAAGATCTACTTTTGTAATTCATCTCTTTCTAAGATCAGCTAGTCGATGTCTTCATCAACCCCGTTGTTAGCTATCCATTTCCAACTCTTAAGGGACAAACTTAAAGTTGGTTATCCACCTTTCGTTTGAAG